TATATATATACACACACATGACTTTTGAGGTGGCAACACTATTATTGATATTGATCTTTCTTACGCCTGGATGCAGCCACACACTACAGCAGAAGTCAATACCTCACATATTTTTTAATTTATCCAGCTCACAAGACCAACGAATGGATGGACAGAGGGTCTTTCCAATCTCTGTCTTTGCGCTGCGACGAGGGACAATTAAAGTGGTCTGGACCACTTCCAAAGTGGTTTGATTGAAAACAGTTTTGATGCTCGTTGAGATCTTTCAGACCTTTATTTAGTGTTCGTTGATTGCCATCCTATGGCTCTAAAGGGGATTAAGTGTACAAATTAACCTAACATACATGTTTTTAGACCGTGGTAGGGCACTAAAAATCAATAACACACACAAAGAAACATTCAAAGTTCACAAAGACAAACTGATGATTAGAACTGGAAACATTTTAACTACAAGGTGGCAGCCCCATCATGTAGCTTAGTAAAAAAATATATATATTTTACGTTTTGTCACAAATTGAACATGTAAAAATTAAAATCTAACAATTACAGCATCATGCCATGAAAATACTTTTATTACCAGTTTGCACTGATGTCAGTTTAGCACGGACGTGAATCGGCCTCATGAGGAGCTTGCACTCCAAAGCGGCATCAGTGGCTTACGGAGGTAATGTCAGTTTTAATGAAACGTGTTTCACGTGTTGCTGGGGTCTGTTGCCGTGGCAACCAGTGCAAAGACCACCCCCCTAAACCCTCTTTTCTGTGCAGGTTAAGTTTGAGATATGAAATCAGCATTTGAAAAGGAACCAGCTTTTGACCAGTCAATTCTCTAAATAATTTTATAATTTCTCCTAAGATTTAAAAATTTTGTGTAAGAAAACTTTTTTTAAACTTAAAATGGAGACAAATAATTGTAAATCTTGTTTTTTGTGCTCACATTAAACATTTCTTTTCTTTTGATATCTCTACAGTTTCAGGTTAACCATTATTTTTAAGTGCACCTCTGTGTGCAGTGATGTTAAAATATAACCATACAGTAGTCCCTCGCTACGCCGCGGTTCATTTATCGAGGACTCGCTCTTTCGCGGGTTTTCAAAATAAAATTGGACATGACACACAACTGGCTGATTGATGGATGAGCCGCACAATTGGCATGAAATTTTTATTTAAAATAAATTATTTAGCACCTGCTGCACATTTGTGCAGCCCATACTGCAGGATAAACTTCCTGCTGCAGCTGATCAGCTGATCTCCGTGCAGAGCAGAGGTGGGCGTGGCCAAGAGCGCTTGAAGGTGGCAATGAGCAGAGGAGACAGGGAGCTGAAATCATGGCATTTTGTGCTCCTTAAGAGCGTTTAGAGTTTAGAAACATTGTTTAGAACATAAATAATAAGATAAACTACTACTTACTACTTGTACTACTATTCCTACTTTGCGGTTTTTCACTTATCACAGGTCTTCAGGGTATGGATCCCCTGTGATAAACGAGGGACTACTGTATTACAAAGATGATATTTTTCATTCAACCTTTATTTATACAGGTTAGTCTCATTGAGCCTTGAGGACTCATTTACAAGAGAGACTTGTTTTAATCACAGTTTGCTTTTTTTATTTTGCATTTTCTATTTGCACTTCATCAAAGTAATAACTGAGATTTAAAATAAAAATCCAGACAGTTATTCATTTCTGGGTGAATCAGAGTCGACTTGTTAAGTTGAGAACAAGGATTCTGAATGTTTGAGTTCATTATGTAAGATAATCAAAAGATAACCTGAGTGTATAAGGGTTTTAGTAACAATATTAGCAGTGTATTGTATAGCTATTGATTTCCTGTCAATCATCTGGTCGAACCCAATCAGCATTTATGTTCTCTTTTTAACAGGTGAATGCCTTCCTGTCCTTTGTGGTACCCATGGTGGCCATTTCTGTGTTGAACGGAGTCATAGCCAATCAGCTGCTGCAGATGTTTCGAGAGGTGGAGCAAGACAACCGTATTTGCCTCACCAGAGGAAATCCCACCGTGCTGAACATCACAGTAGAGTCCAACCGTGCACAGTCACTTCGTCATGGAGTTCTGGTTCTCCGTAAGTGAAAAACACAAACACATAAACCAGTTGTGGTTAGCAGCATTTCAAACAGGTTTCTTGGAGGTTCTGTTAGGTTTCCTCCATGCCTTATTTGTGGCACTACTTAGTTGAAACCTTTAAGTGTGATCATCAGACGACACTTTATACTGTAATTTGTCTGCTTATCTTCTTGAACCGGTGACACGGTGGTGCAGTTGGTAGAGCTGCTGCATCTCAACGAGAAGGTCGAAGGTTTGAATCCCGGCTGGGGGGGCTTTCTAGGTGGAGTTTGCATGTTCTCTCCGTGGATGTGTGGGTTTTATCCGGGTACTCCAGTTTCCTCCCACAGACCAAAAACATGAATGTTAGACTGACTGGTAACTCTAAATTGTCCTAAGGTGAGCGAGAGAGAGTGAATGGTTGTTTGTCTCAATCTGTCCCTGTGATGGACTGGAGACCTGTCCAGGGTGTCCCCCGCCTCTCACACAGGGATTGCTGGATATAATTCCGGTTCAAGAATCGTTTTTATCCCAATGGACAATTTGTTTCACAGTCATAGGCACAAAAACATCCAGACATGAAGACATTAAAATAACATTACAGTAACCAGCATAGTTCGTTGAGAAGCCTGATCGCTTCATATACACCAGTGACCACCGTGACCCAAAAATGGAGAAGCGGGTAAAAGATAATGGATGGATGGATCTTCTTGTTCCCAGCATGAAGCCCACAATGAATTTATCACATGCAGACATTAAATCACTTTTTATTGGGATTTACAATTTTCAATGGGATTTACCTGTCTAAACTGTCAGAAACAGATTGACAGATCTTTGGATTGATACATGCGTAGGGTCTTCATACTGTATATTTGAGTCTAGACTGTCTATACATCCATCATCTTCTGATTGTAGTCAGGTTGCAGCTTAAGCATTGAGGCCCAGACAACTCTTTCCACAGCCACCTCTTCAGCTCTTCTGGGAGGACTCCAATGTGTTCCCAGGTCAGCCGAGCATGTTCTGGGTATTCTCCGGGGTCCCCTCCCACTTGAACATGCCCATAAAACTGAGGTTTCTAGGGGGTATCCTTATTAGATTTTCAAACCACCTCAACTGACTCCTCTCAATGTGGAGGAACAGAGGCTCTTCTCAAAGTCTCTCCTGGATAACTGAACTTCTAATCCTATCTCTAAGAGAGAGTCCAGCTACCCTCATTTTGACTGCTTGTATCAGCGATCATGTTCTTTCGGTCACTACCTAAACGTCATGACCATAGGTGAGGGAAGAAACATAGACTGACCAGTAAACAGAGCTACTCCTTGCAGCTCAGCTCCCTTTTCACCACAATGGACAGGCACAAAGTATGCAATACTGTACTGCGAAAGCTGCACCAATTTGTCTGTCGATCTCCTGCTCTGTTCTCCCGTCACTCATGAACAAATCCCCGAGATGTTTGAACTTCTCCACTTGAAGCAGAACCTCACTCCCAACCCAAAGAAAGATTATATATATATATATATATATATATATATATATATGCGTATATATACGTATTTAGGCCAATCTGGGGTTTATGTTTTGTTTTTCCATGGGCTTGACTCTGCTCTATACAAGTCAGCTCGGCTTCAGAGACCATTGGGTATTCGTACCCGCTGCCAGCTTGGTTCCTAGTACTTCTTTCCGTGGTTCCAAGCAAGCCAAATCAAGCTAAAGATTTGACATCACCAGACTGCAGGTCAATTATTTTGTCATCTTTAACCTCTATATTTGATCGGCCCGAGAGTGTTGTCAGTCATAATTGTCTCCTTCATAAGAATCAAACCCACCATTTTGAAAACTTTGCAACTGCAACTTGTTTTTTTTTTTAACTAATCATGTAATATATTCATAATTAAACTGGCAACATGTAAAACAAAACTGTGGTTCTACGAGGAGGTGCAGATGTTTCTGACTAATTTCAGTGGGAGCTATACCAAATTAACTTAATTTTTATGGGCTTCAACCAGACATGGAAGGTGGCCTTGAGTCAACCACAGCGTTTCTGGAACTCAAAATGTCAAATTATGTGCCAAGTTAGAGAAATGTGTATGCACAAATGATAAAAATAATAATAATTTAAACCTTCCTGCAATTTTTTCAGTCTTTTTGATTAACAGTCTACAGTATCTGTTTTCCTTTTCTCAGTTTAGATACTTTCTTGGTCAAGTTAGAATGATACACCTGACAACAAAACATGATTATAAAAGACATGGCAAAAAATGAAGGGGAAATGAGAAATTGATTTTTCAGAGACGAGAATGTGTACAAGGCTAAGCACACCTCCTGTGAACTGGTTTTCACCTAGTCATGAAGAAATGTATGACATTTGCTTCAGGATGATATTCATTCAACCTTTATTTATTTATACAGGTTAATCCCATTGAGCCTCAGGGACTCATTTACAAGAGAGACCTGATTTCCTAACAAAGTGTGATGACAACAGTGGACAACAACGACAACAATAGACAGTCATAAAATAGGCATACAAATTTATGTATAAGTCTCAGAAACCAAGAAATGACATCAAGTCCAAGAATATTTATTATCCCCAAGGGTCAATTTGTTTCGCAGTCAGTAGGCATATAAAACATTCATACTAGATGTAGTGGACTAGGCCCATGTCAAAAACTAAGTCTAAGGTCAAAATCTTGACCTTAAGAACCTTGTGGGACAGGAACTGTCATTTCATTCATTTGAATCCATAAATACAGGTTCACCCATCCTGAGACTTTCTTTCTTGAAGATTCAAGTGAAAAGAACACTCTCTTTTTATTATCATTACTATTTTACAAATGTTGATAATCAAAGTGTCTTAGTTCAAACCATTTTAGATGTTGCAGTGAACTAATCAATTTTATTAACTGAGTAATGATTTTTATTCTCATGCAAAGTTAGAACTCATGTTAAAAGCTGTTACAGAGTTTATGCATTTTCTGATTTCTGCCTTTGAATGAGCAAGTGTGTGCGTTTCCAAGGTTGGAGTCAAACGAAAAACAAGTTGTTATGTTAAAACTGTCATGTTTTAGAATCCTCTCAGACGTAAATATAGATGTTTTGCACCTGTTTCTGAAACACGCCAAAACAAAACTCTCTCTGTCTGTGAGAACATTTCTGATCTGTCTCATAACAATTCTCGCTGTCTCTAACCTCTTACGTCACAAAACACACCCCGTCTGGTCGTTTCTGACCAATGAACAACTCCCAAAAGTGAACCGGGAAAGAGTCTTTAAAATGTCAGTACTTCCTGATCTACTCAGAGTTCTAAGAGTTCTGATGCGGTTCTGATGGAGTGCTGATGGAGTTCTGATGGAGAGTGTTTTGCTGGTTCTGCTCGAGTTCTGTTGAAGCTCTGTGGATGATCCTGACATGACAACAAGCTCTTCCGAGTTCCATGGGATTATAACGTTCACTCGCCACTACTTCTGACGATATCACAGCATCCTAAGGAGACGCTGGACAGGTAGCGTTAACGGAACACCATATCGGCTGATTATCATCAGAAAGGTAATGGGTCAAGTTTCCTACCAAGCGTACCAAGGAGAGCTGGGTTCTGACGGAGAGTGTCAATTCTGGTGAACACTTCCCCCTCCCATACCATCTTTACTCCCTCTTAACTTCTTTCATCTCTAAACTTTTCTATCAAGTAGAAACTCTTCCAGATATTTTAGAAATGTCTGTGTAAAATGCTCACCCACATTCATGTGGGTAAAAGATCATAATTGTACAGTTTATAAATGTCTGTGGTGCAGCAACGGAAAAATCATGGCCGTATGGTTTTTCTGATTGATTGCTTATGTTGTTATTTTCATAATTTGCCAAATTAATGTACATGTTTGATGTTAAATTTGATTCTGTAAATAAATGACCGCATTCATTTTGATGGGTCAAATATAAATGACGTCTCACGTTTGCATTTCCTTAAATTCAATGCACGTTTTATTCAGTCCAGAAAAATGAGGAATCCGTGTTAAATGATGAATATATCCCAGCATCTGTTCATCTACATAGACAAGACATTAAGACATTAAAATAACAGAACAGAAGTCATCACTGCTCGTTGATAAGCCAGATCTCTACGGGGATGAATGAGTTTTTCAGTCTGTTCGTTCTACATCTGGTCAGCAGAGACCTGAATCCAGATGGAAGCAACCTGAACTCAGCATGGAGTGGTGATCAGGATCTGCCAGAATCAGCCAGGCCTTGTTCACTGACCTCGCCTTGTGTAGATCAGTGAGATTCTGTAGGTCAGTGAGGTTCTGTAGGTCAGTGAGGTTCTGTAGGTCAGAGAGGTTCTGTGGGTCAGTGAGGTTCTGTAGGTCAGAATGGTTCTGTAGGTCAGTGAGGTTCTGTAGGTCAGTGAGGTTCTGTAGGTCAGAGAGGTTCTGTATGTCAGTGAGGTTCTGTAGGTCAGTGAGGTTCTGTATGTCAGAGAGGTTCTGTAGGTCAGAATGGTTCTGTATGTCAGAGAGGTTCTGTAGGTCAGAATGGTTCTGTATGTCAGAGAGGTTCTGTAGGTCAGAATGGTTTTTGTAGGTCAATGAGGTTCTGTAGGTCAGAATGGTTCTGTATGTCAGAGAGGTTCTGTAGGTCAGAATGGTTTTGTAGGGCTATGCCAGCAGTTTTACTGCACATCAGAAGTCTTTGTTGTTCTCAAATTCAGTTCTATTTTAAATTCCGTCAAGTTTAGCAGAAAATAAACTTATTAATATTCATAATAAATTAATATTTCCAGCTCCAGATTATTCTACATCATAAAAATCCTGCCAAATTACAGAACATTGAGAAAGTATTAATCTGCTTTAAAATTATTCTGTTTTTGATATCTTGTCACACTTCAATCTTTCAAATCATCAAACTGGTGTCACTGGTGTCCATATCCAGCAGTCACTGTGCGAGCAGCGGGGTACACTCTGGACAGGTCTCCAGTCCATCACAGGGACACCTGGACAGGTCTCCA